ATGGTGGCATGTTATATCTCATAACTGAACTACAAGTAATCTTGATTTTAATAAATGAATTATCCTATATTACTTCGATTTCATGAATACTTAAACTTGAAATTATAAAATTAGTAGAAATCTTTTAATAATAATTAATAAATTTCCATTGATTTTAATCAAAAAACTAAATTTAAATATTTTTTAGGTTACGATAAATTTCTTTCTTATCCTACTTTTATAATTTTATTTTTAATTTCAAGCAGTAAGTATAAAAAAATAAATGGACACACTGAAAAAGGTGATTTTCGATTTGCAATTGATTGTTTTTATCACATTTCTTCATTTCGGATAATGCCATTCGTTGCTGAAATAAATGGAAATTTTTGATTTAATTTTCTTAATTAGACTATTTCAATCATTGATAGTGACAGTAAACTAAGAAAATTTTGCACACTAAAATATTAAAAAGTTGCAAAAGTTCATTTTTTTTCTCTTTCTCATCTTTCTTATGCAGCACGTTTTCGCGTCATTTCCTTCCATTTGACGTATCGTCTTAGGATTGCACGATTCGCAGTTTCCCATATCATATAAATTATGAATTTATTGAAAACCAGTTTAGCATAAACTTTTGTGATAACATCATCACTACGATAATGTTAAATAAAAGCTGGGGAAAGAAAGAGGGAGAGAGAGAGAGAGAGAAATGCAGAGAGAAATAAAGGAAAAAGAGAGGTTATATGAAATATTAAAAATTATTCGACTATTAGACTAATTTATTACGTGATTTTTGTTATAATTATCATTGTTACCAAATTTATTAATAAACTTTAACAGTTCCCAATAAAATACTTAATTATTCACTGATATAAAACATTTTAGAAAACCATATAATCACAATATGTCTATACTTTTTGAGAACACGTAATAAAAGACGTGTTGTATACTTAATTCGATTGTATCAGTTGATAATTTCAGAATCTGTTAATCATTTCAAGATGATAATCAAGTTTCTTCTTATACATATGTAATTACATTTTCATTCCTTTAATTGTGAAAATATCTGACCAGAAAATATTCGTCATAAATTTTTGAAAGTAATAAATTAGAAGAAAAAAAAAAAGATTCGTCTAGCATTAAACATTCCAAAAATTATTGTATTTATCTAATAATAAATTTTAAACTATTCAACGCACAAAATGAATTAAATAATTGAAACTATCAATGATAATTTATGTTAAATGATAACGATCAATATTAGTAGGTTGGAATATTTCCGGAAATTCCAGAAATTCACTTTAGGAGATGAGAAAAGTTGAAGAAATTCTGAAATAAAGGAATCTCTTCGATAATTGTATATTTGTGGAGCTGTTCCACTCATTTCACATAACAATTTTAAGATATAAAAGTGTGCCGCCAATAGAGGTTTTAATGGGGGTGAGGGTGGGTTAAGATTGAAATAGTATGAAATGGGTGCTTGTTGATCAGAAAGTGGAAGAGATATGAAAAAGGTAAGAAAGGGAAAGAAGGGAGGGAGTAGAATGAAATCTAACAACTACTAATGATGCTATGAGCGCCTCTTCCTTCACTCCCTTCATGGTGTAGTAAATTGTTAAACAACTACAAACTATAGCTCATAAACTAGCTCCTTTCCTGAAGATCAGGTGTTCAGGATGGCTAAACTGAAATATACTTGCTCAATTATATCGTCAAATTATTTCTCTTCAAATGATTCTTATTTAAAATTA